AAAAAAAAAATGAATCATAATCGAAGATTGAAAATCAAACAGTTTTTGCTGACACTTTTCCAGTATTATCAAGAAATCAAAAAACAAAGACAACGACGGCTTCTTTAGCACCATGGTGTTGAGAAAAATGACACATAAAGATAAGCAATGTACTCTCTAACAGGAGTGAAGGAAATGTACCAACTGTGACGAAAGTAGCTATGGAATGAAGGATGCTTGGTGTATCGCTCTGAAACCATGCAAAAAACGAGTGGTGTAGAATAGGGTAGACGGAAGCCACTAAAATCAGCTCATTAAGTTATGTCGCTCGCGTTGCTCATAAATGATGAACGTTGCGCATCAATAAGACAGAAGAAGACCACACCAATCACTTTCGGATAGTCTATACCTTGTATTTAGTGGATATCACGGGCGATAAATGAAAGCAGAGGAGAGGCAAAGTTGTGCCCTACGAAATTTTGTTACACGGCAACTTTCCGAAAGACTGCAGCGCAACATCTCTTCGGTCCGCTAAACATGCTTAGAGTAAATATGCTCTCAGACGAATCCCATTTTTGCAAAATGTGTTCTAGCCTTGAAATAGCAGATCACGTTTTTAAAAATCTAGAATGGTCTACAAGCCGCGGTATACTACTCATCTTGTTCCTCACACAGTGAGGGGTGTGCAGTTGCTCCACAATAAAAGTAGCAAAAAAATCCAAATTTTACTTTTGCTAGCTTTTTTGCGTGTGACTGCAAAAAAAGAAAAGGGTTGGCTGGCTTTTGCACTCGGTATTCGGTTTGCCTAGCAAAAACAGCCCTGGCACCTAAACATCCGTATTAAAATTACTTAGGCAGTAAAAAACCTGATTCATCACAAAACCCCCATCCAAAAAATCGGCTAGTCCAAATTGCCTTTTTAAGACTGCAGGAAATCATTGGGAGCTCTCGATGATGAATGCGTCAATTTGGATTGTGAATGAACAGCTGTAAAACGCGGAAAAGTTGCCAGCTGTTTCGACGGAACGAAAGGGGCTACGATGAAACGACAGCTGATCAAACTATTTTAATTTGCCATTTTTTAGCTGCGACTACTACTACATTGCTTTCACACTCCCCTAATGCCAAATAAGAAACCCAGGCTGAAACGCAGCGGGCGGGCCCGTGCGGTCATGCGTTTTG